GGGAAAGAAAATAATTACAGGAAGAGGTCATTTGAATGGTAAAGGGAAACAGAAAACAACGGACACACACACACACACACACACAAGTCTGTGATGTCAACAAGTGGAAGGAAAGGCACAAACAAATTTACTTCAAGAGGATTTCTCTTTTATGTTTGGTATATTTTGATATATATATATATTTAGAATAATAAATTCCATTGAGATCAGGGACTGGTTACACAAAAAACCTTAAGTTAAGATTTCCATTTTGATTAAACAAAACACCCTTACGTGTTCTTCTTAAGGTTTCCTTAAGATGTTCACAGTTGCATATTAAACTTAAATTAGTTAAACCATGGCACAATCAATCTTAATTAACACATTAGGTTACAGTCTAAATGAGAAGGCTAGTTATGTCATCAAGCCTGTTTCATGTTAGCTAGCTAGGCTAAAGTAGGCTGAAGTTACTGTAATGTATTGTTTAAATACTTTAATGTGTGATAAAATCAACAAATATAACTTGTTAGAAGATATCATCTTTATCATGAACATCTTCTGTACAGAGATTTAATTTACTGTCAGCCATATAATAGCCTATAGTGTAACAGGGTTTTACCAGTTTTGTTGGATTTCTTCCTTTAATTAGTGATCTCTCTTTATTGGCCAGAACAGACAAGCTGTTGTATTTTATTTATTTAGTTTACCTTTTCTTCACCAGTTTTCACAAACAAATGGTTTCAATGGAAACTGTAGAATTTTACTTTAAAGGTCCAGTCCAACTAATGAACACTGCTCACATCTGTATTTGACGGCCTGAGACTGAGAATGGGCTGCAGTGTGTGGAAGAAACTCACGAAAATGCAAAGGCCCCATCTACAGCCAGTGTTTGATTTGTCCTTTCAAGGCTACGGTAGAAACATGGCAGACTCCATGAAGGGGACCCACAGTGTGTGTAGACAAAAACAAAATGATTCCTATATGTTTCTATATTCAGCCGTCGATGCTATACACTGCATGGGGAAAACCATCACCTATTGAACATTATGATTCCGATTTCCTGCTGAACTAATTTCTCCCGTAAATGTTTTACACAGACCCTTCAATGCAGGTAAATGCCCTCATACTTTCCTTACAGTCGCGCAAACCTTTTTAAAGGGGTCTTTGCCCTAACACCCTTTAACGCTAAGCTTCCCTCAGGCCTATAAAGAGAAATTAAGCCTTAAGTGTCATACTTAAAAGGAGAAAACTTAAGGGGTTGTTTTTGTGCCCCCAACCAGTCTCTTGATTCCGTCATTCTGCGTCATTTTCAGCTGACAGGACTTGCTGGAGCGCTGTTTTCTGCATTTATTTGGCAGCTCATGCAAGAGCGAATGCTCCCCACAAACTTCTCTGGTCTATTTCATTTCAGTTAATGAGGTTTCTTGGCCTCCTCGAGAGCCTGTTGCTATAAAACTTCATGGTATGTTTGGTCTTGGTGGTAGTGAATGGCAGGAGGTTCTCTGGAGGTGAGAAAAAGCCTAAAAGTTCGCACTCGTCTTACTGAGAAAGGCAACCTGTTCTTATAGCTACACAGCAGCTTGCGCTGCATTTTTATTTTCACCTGCTCCCTGTTCATGATAGCTGCAACGAAAGGTGGGCCGCATGGGAAAAGGGTTTCTCTGCAGTAAGTCATAAAAGCTCCCTGACTCTGGAACGGCTTCATCCTAAAACCTGACATTTACCATTTCAGTTTTTTGATCTTCTGCCGTAACATTCTCTACATTCAATGCGACCATTTTCAATTCTTGCTAGCGAGGGAGTAATTTGTGATACCTAAAATTTTTGAACATTCTTTCCTGATACCACAGTATCCTGAATGGGATGGCAGGCTTTTGGGAGGACCATTCTTATTTTTATTGCCTTTTGATTATGATCTTGTCATGGCATTGCTTGTATTAATAAATTACTATTTTCGGCAGGTTGGAGCTCACTCTTGATTTGTTCCTACTGGGTGCCCAATTTTATTCAGGTCTTTTGGTACAATTCACATTTTTGCAAAGGCCACAGCACTAAAAAATCAACAAGTGGAAGCTCACAGCCTACTTGAATTAAAAGGTCACTCCATAGTTTTGCTGACTTTGATGCTAAATTCAGTTATACAGGGCAGGGTCTATGCAGCCAGGAGTGCATTAGCTTACAGATGGATTATGTAAATTTAAAGAAAGACACTTGCATTGCTGGGATAGATGTATGATTGAAAACTTTTTGGCCGCACATTTCATTTATATTATTTATAAGTGGTGGATGGGGATTGTATTAGGTTGGGATGCACACATGTTTCTTTTGAACAGGTTTTTCTTGACGCACCATCAAGAGCATGGATCACCTGACGGGTGATACTGCATAATGCTAAAGTCCATTAATTAAAACCTGTTTGCACAACTTCCTCGTCCACCACAATAGCCCGCTTACTCACCTTACCAGATGGTTTTTGCAGCTATTCGTGTTTGCCTTTCAGCAGAAAACGTAAGGCAAGGATGAGCGCACTTTGCACAGAGGCGAGGCATAGCAGCAAAACATCTTGACATGGTGGAGGTAAAAGCGTGGGTACCGAGGAGAGCTTCTGCAACTTGTGTTTTTATTTTTTATGGGGCACTGGCACTAAAGGCCTCACACTGGCCTGGCATTCTTGGCTATGTGTGCCAAGTTCTTAAAGTTAGAAAAAAAAAAAATTCATGAATTATTGCGTTACCATGGACAACAGACAAGGTTAATCAATATATGCTTCAGTTGCCCTACGGTATCACGGTCATATTGGTGTGGTGTGTGTGGTGTGTGTGTGTCGTGTGTGTGTGTGTGGTGTGTGGTGTGTGTGTGTGCTGTGTTTGACTTCTGTCTGGGGTGTGCTATAGATAATATCTTAGTACATATATATAGCATATATTATATGCAATGCTACAGCTTAGACAAGTACAGTTCACATTGTAGTTGGCCTATAGAATAGTTTATGGGAGTATAACAGGGCTGTGTAACATTAGAGATGAAAAATTAGCTTTATATTACAGCTTCCCTATAAACTTAATATTGGGTATTACTCTATAGAAAATTATAAATATTTCGGCTGCATCACCACAGGCATTTTGTGCGTTATCGACAGTGGCCTACTGCTGCACACTCCAGGCCCAAACATGGTCAGAGTCTCCCATTTTGAAATGACCATTAACATTTTTATTTTTTTTGGCCACAAGTTATCTCATCTTCATTATTTACTTTTCGTAATATGTTTAGTTTATCTCACTGTTTACAACATGTTTTGACAGAGAATAGCTTCTTGGCCCTTGAAAAACGAACCTGCATCATCGGGACTCACAGGCTTTCCCTCTATATAGATATTCGCGGTAAATGTGTTTTACACTTATGTGATCCTGCCCCTGTGACAGGAAGCTTCATGGGAAAGGGTTCAATATTTACTCCAGGGTTACCCAAAATGGCGACCCACGGTTTAAGCTCCGGTTTTAAAAACAATTTTATATAGGATCACAGTTCAGCATAGGTTTGCTTCAAGATTCAAGAGGTTTATGGTCATATGCACAGAAAGAAAACACAGTGGGTTCTGTACCACTACAATGGAAAATCTTATTTTGGGGCCCAACTCCCTTTACACAACAGTTAACCAATAATAACAACAAATACACAACAAATAAAAAACATAAGGTTTAAAGTAAATATAAAATTTGAATATAAAATATAACAATAATATAGAGTATTGTATGTTTGGGGGTGTGACAAATGGGTGTTTCAAAACGTGCCTTTACATACATTATAATGACCACACAAGTTCTAGTCTTTAATATGTTTGTGTAAATACCTCTATAGGATGATGAAAGACTGCTGCTTAAAATTCATATAGGAATATTCAAGATTCAAGATTCAAGAGGTTTATTGTCATCTGCACAGAAGAAACACAGTGGTTTATACCATACAATGAAAATCTTATTTTGCCCAACTCCCTTTACATAACAGTACAATAATACAAATACACAACAAAAATAGAAACATATAAGTTTAAAAGGTAAAATATAAAATTAGAATATCAAATATAACAATAATATAGAGTATTTATGTTTGGGTGTGACACAATGGGTGTTCAAAAGTGCTTTACATACATTATAATGGCCACCCAAGTTCTAGTCTTGAATATGTTTGCTTAAATACCTCTACAGGATGATGAAAGACTACTGCTTAAAAATTCATATAGGAATATTCAAGATTCAAGATTCAAGAGGTTTATTGTCATATGCACAGAAGAAACACAGTGGTTTATACCATACAATGAAAATCTTACTTTGCCCGACTCCTTTTACACAACAGTACAATAATAACACAAATACACAACACAAATAGATAAATAGAATACAGTTAAAATATAAAATTTAAATATAACAATAACAGAGTATTTATGTTTGGGTGTTCAAAAGTGCTTTACATACATTATAATGACCACACAAGTTCTAGGCTTTAATATGTTTGCTTAAATACCTCTACAGGATGATGAAAGACTGCTGCTTACCTTTGCTTGCAGCAAATAATATTACATATATATAGTATTTTTCAGATATAGTCCAGGATTAAACACAGTTATATGCACAGAAATATGTATAACAGCAATATAAATGGGGTTATAATGAACATTTCTACATGGACATATCGTGTGTGACATAAAAGGGGGCTGTACCTCACTGTAAGCAACCGACGTCACCAGAAAAAGCTAGCGAGCCAGTTGTTTTGAGAGGAGGAGAAGAAAAGGGCTACAAGCGGAAGAAACACCGGATTTGGTTTCGGATACTATTCGTTTTATGGTCCTGGTTTAGTTTTTTATTTTATTTTTTTTATATATATATAAATACACTTTGAATAATGTCGACCCCGGCGAGGAGACGGCTTATGAGAGATTTTAAAAGGTACCGCAGCGTTTTTTTTTGTTTTTTTTTTGTGGCAGTCATCTCCTTCTGTTTGTGTGTGTGTGTCTCTCTTTCTCTGTGTGTGTGTGCAGCTAGCAGTGTTAGCTGGCCGATAAACCTTGCCTGTAGCTTAGCTTAGCTTCGTTAGCTGCTGGTGCAAAGGATAGTGTAGCTATATGAAGCTCGACTGGAGTTATTGTGGTATAAACTCGTTGATTTGCTGTGGTTTGTCTCTGCACATGGCATCGATAGGATTGGCAAAGGCACGGCCGTGTGTTTTTAGGTGTTATTTAACGACATTGGAAGGAGGTACTCTGGGTTAATGCAGTGTTTTCTGTCCAGGGAGCAACGTTAGTTTCTCCATTTTCTTGGGTAGTTGTTTTCTTGTTTATTTGGGTAGGTGCAACTTCGGCTAGCTGGGGTTACATGAGGCGGGTTACATTTGGTTGGACAAACCCTTTTGTCTGGCCTTAAGTTGCCCTGATTAGAAGCTAAATGTGGCAGGATTTCTCCTAATTTCTCAGCTCAGACTGCAAGCTGTGGGTTTAAATTCAGCTAAATTCAACCTAGCCAGCCAACATTATGGTTTCAATCCCTCCTGGTAGCAACGTGGCTCACAGGTGTTGCACAACTCTGTGTGTGGCTGGTCAGGGGGGCTCCATCTCAATGTTTAGGATGGCTAGATAAGTGCCTGTGACCTCCTTATTGTTGCTTTAAAAACCAGTATTAGTATTAAACCATCACAATGTGCCTTTGTGTGAGTGATGTTGGTATCAAACCTGTGCTGTGAACACAATAATGTGTGTGTTTCCTGGCAGAATCACACCTGGCAAGGGGCTACTTGTAGGACCTGCTATCCACAATCTGTTGCCTTGCTCCATATGGCCATCCTGCAGTACGTGTGTGTTTGCCATTCACACACACACCTGTCAGTGGGAGAAAAAAAAGAAGATCCTAAGCTATTCTACTAAGAACAGCCGATGAACCGGGGCAGATAATGTGTCACCGTAACTCTACTCTGCTGTGCCAGTCCCCAGGTGGTAAACCGTAACACACTGAGGCACGGAAAACACAATACCACAGCCCTGGATCAGCCTGTGTGTCCACGCCAAGGCTGGCTGATTGAACTCAGCCTTGCGTGATATTGCCTAACTTTCCTTGTTTGATCTGTAAGTCAAATTATTTGCTCGATATGCGTCTTTATACTGAGCTATGTAATTGTTTGAAGAGAAACACTTTGGTATGATGTTTTGGCCCAGTACCTTGGATGTGAAATGACACTTTGTTGTTGAGTTGCTGCTTAAATAAGCAGATTTTTCCTTTAAGCTCTTGGTGGATGGATGAACAGTTCAGAAACCACCTAATTTTTTCTTCTGATTGTTTTCAGTAAAGCGTCACTTTCTTTTTCTTTCCTCCAATGTGTTTTTCTAGAAGCGATTGGCATTGTGAAACCAACAACATCCCCTTGTACTTAAATACCTTGCTCTACTTTCTCATTATCAGGCCAAACCAAAGCTTACAGCTAGTGTATCTCACAAATTACTGTAAGCTGACTGCATAATTGCGGTTATCGTTTATAGTGAACCTAATCAAACAAGTTGTAGTATGCATGTATGTTTCTGAATTGACTGCATGGTGTGCAGGGTTTCATTGACCACACTGTTTTGGGTAAGTAATTAATAACAGAAATTATACTAGGGCTGCAACTAACTATCATTTTCATTATCAGTTAATCTGCTTATTATTAATTAGTTGTTTGGTCTTTGAAAATGTCCTGAAATTGTGAAAAATGTCCCTCCCAGAGTCAAAGGTGATGTCCTCTTAAATGTATAAATGTATATGTAAGGATATAAAACTGAAAAACAGCCAATGCTCACATAATTTATCAGCTTTTTTTAAACAAAACTAACCATCACACAGTGCCCCCCTAACCTGCATTACACCCACACAAACTGAGGGGGAAAAAAAATATACTGTTTGCGTAAGACTGCCCACTACTTCCCCCTAATCTGCTGACTGGTCAGTAATCCCCAATTACCAAGTAAAACAAAGTATCTGTTGGTCTATCTAGTAGGGAAGTTGAATGGAGCATACCTCCACCAGCAGAAAGCTCAGGCAGATTACAGTAAATGAGGTTAATTGCAGTGGGTCTGTCTGCAGCTAGGGACATTGATCCACACACACACACACACGCACACAGACACACAAATCAGCCTACCTTGTTTTATAGCTGTAAGCTCCTATTAAACCAGCTTTTATACTAGGCGTGGGATTGTAGGCCTAAGTAGTCTGCGATGATTCCGGGCTTGGCCTACATGCATTGGTGACCTTTAGCGTGACCCAGTAACGTACCCTGAGTTTCGCCAGTGGACCCGACAGAGTAGACTAAAGTATATTCTGAGTACGGCTCATTTCAACACACTGACCCAATCCACCAGAAACCTGTTTTATAGCCTACACTGATCACTAGTTTAACAAACGAGGCTGTTGTCGGAAACTTCATTTACAATGTTGACCTGCGACGTGTGCATGTTTGGATGTGTTGGTGTCTTTGTTGCTAGGCAGTTGTTGCTGTGGGGTTTATGCACTGCAATTCACAGAGATCACTTGCCAGTCAAGCAGCCCTCGGGCAGTTTTCTTTGTGGAGCTGGAGCTAATGATTATTTTCATTAATGATAATAAGTCGGTCTGACTATTGTGGGTTATGTGATGATAGATGGATGGATTTACTTTATTGAGTCACCTGGGCTGTACAAAGTACACATTGTGTTTCTAAATAGTTTTTAGAAAATGCAACCCCCAGAGGTATGCATTTTACAGCGATTTGAAACCATAGCAAATATTTAACTTTTAAATAGTCAGAAAATTATCATTAACTTTGATAATGACATTTTTTAACATGCCAAAAGGCCACAGATGTCTGGAGTTGCTGCTTTTCTCATTTTTTCGCCACTGAGTTTTGGACTGTTGGTTCAAACACGTAATTGAAGGCTTCACCTCAGGCTCCGATATGTTTTACAATTTTCTCGCATTTAATCGACCAAATCATGAACCGATTTTAGTTGAAAGAGAAAATGAAGATAAATCAAAATAATGACAAAATAATAATAATTTAAGCATGAAATGCTGACATTAATTAAACCAACAACATGTAGTGATTTATTTATTTTTTGTTCAATTATTAAAAGTAATTCCAAACACAGCGGCGCTGCTGCTCTTGTAAATGTTAAACACAGACTCTGCATCAGATTGTTTTTCTTGCGAAAAAGAACAGACGCTGAGTGTACGGAGCTTTCATGAACTGGGTTCAGTCGTCTGTGCTACGTATAGGTCAGTAGAGAGTAACTAAACAAACGTATTGATAGAAAAACGTCAAGGTTGTAGGGTTTGTATATTTGTGGTTTATCCAGATCATATCAACGTTAGGAGGAATTTCAGGCGAAGGAACACTGAGTGGATGCAGTGCTTAACAGGTCTTATGATGCTCACTAGGGATACAGTCATGGTACAGTAGTGCTTCAGATGAGTATGAATGATATAGGTTAGTAAACTGACAGCAGGTTGGGCAGCGTGCAGTTGATCCTGCTGCCCGGCTGTCTGCTGAAGTCATGTTGATACAGCAGTTCGTGTTTTGACTGACAATTATCCTGCAGTCAAGGTGTTAATTAAAATCCTCACACTCTCAACCATCCTTGTCTCACCCCCCCCCTCGCTCCTTTCTCCCCTTGTTTTCTGTTTCCATGCCCATTTAATTCGTCTCTCATCTTTTAATGCCCCTTTATGTCTGTTTCCCCCTGTTTGCTCCCCATCTTTTTCCTTTGTTTTGTTCTCATTTATCTCTTTTTTTTTTTCTCCCTTCTTGTCTCGTTAGCTTCCCGCTGCCTTTCTTTTTACCAATGTCTATTCTGTTTTTCTGTTCTTTTTCTTGCTATCTGTGTTTTTGTGTCATTTATTTTTCTTTCTCTTACCATGTCTTTCTCTCTCTCTGTCTTACCCAGACTTCAAGAAGATCCTCCCACCGGTGTGAGTGGAGCGCCATCAGAGAACAACATCATGCTTTGGAACGCTGTTATTTTTGGGTGAGTCATGCTCTAAATCCAACTCCACCCTGCTGTCTTTACTGTGCCACTGTGATTGTGATGCACAAGAGTCCCCCAACGCACCCACCCCTTGGCAATATTTAAATATTTCTGATTACAGCCCTGATTGTGGCACAGAACAGTCTGGAAAATCAGCATGTAGAGACTCAGCAGGTGTTTGTTGGAAGAACCTGCTGGGAGACACGGCTGGGGCTTGAGCTGATGGGTCAAGGAAGGGAAGAAAGAAAGAAAAGTATTGAGAAAGACCAAACCAAAACTGTGACTTTTTTCCCATTTTTTGATATCTCTAGGTACACAATTTAAAATACAATTGAAAGAAGAAACATGGTTTTTAAAAACTCATTTTCAGCTACTCATTAAAAAAAAAAAAAAAAGCATACTAGTAGTATGAATTCAAAAGTCAAAACAAACTAAAATATCAGAAACTCAAGCAGATTGCAAGCAATACTAGAACGTAATTGAAAACTCAACAAGAAGCAACAAGGTGCAACAAACAACAAACCAGAGCGTCACAGAGTTTAAAATAAAAATAGACTTGCTAATAGTTCCTCACCTAATTCAAAGTCAAAGGGGAAGCTGCCAGAAATGTAAAACGTGTAGGCAGCTGATTTAATTGGCCCCTTTACACAGTCTGTGTGAATGTGAAGAGCTGAGTAAATAAAGTCTCCAGTGTCTGCAGAGCAAGTCCTTGGAGGATAGAAGGTAATGGTTGTGTTTTTTCTACAAGCCTTATTGGTAGCCTTATTATTTGGAAATAATTTTATTGCTCTCTCTCTGTCTCTCTCTCTCTCTCTCTGCCTTCTGCAGGCCTGTGGGAACACCGTTTGAAGATGGTAAGTTCTCCATTTTGATTTATCTTGTCCATAAAGTCCTCAGTGGGAGCACATTTATCCAAGCTCTGGATTTGATTGAACTTCCTCCTGCTTTGTTATTATTGTGGAGTTGCATCAGTCGCTCCATCTATTACAGCCTTCTGGGCAGTGTATTGTTAAAAAATATGACAAAGTCAGGCTGTTGATGTGTTACACTCTTGAGTAATCAATCACAAAATCATACACTCCATTCCCACACCTATAAATATTTTCAAACGGTACTACAGAGGTTGGACGCATTCGATTTGTAATGAAACTGCTGAGTTTAAAGAGCTGCCTTTCGGCGTTTTTGAAAGGTGTTCAAATTGATATTATATATTTTATTTTACACACAGCCCTCACATTTTTGTTTGGTACAGTCATATAGGGCTGAATCATACAGTTAAAATCCTCATCACAACTTTTAGGAACAATATTTTGTTATGAACTGCCCTCTAATGTTATACATGGGGGTTGTGTTGCTTCAGGTATCGCCTAATTACAGTCCAGGAAGTCCAGTTTTTTTCACACAGGGCTACTGCTGGTCTCACTAAACTTTGTACTCTTTAGTAGAGTTTTGAATACACTCAGAATTATTAACTTGAACAACTTACATTTTCAGAACAACAACATGATTTTTGTGTCATTACAGAAGAACCATCAATGTAGAGCTGCACGTCTGCTCTTTAATCTCATAATCATTGATTTATTTCAGCCATAATTGAATGAGCTCACACAACAAGACGTGTTTTGTTGTCCAAATTCATAACACACGAGACAATATTGTGTGTGTATATATTTCAAGACTTTAGTTAAACTATGTAGGGGAGCAGGGCAAGGCTTGCAGTTCTGCTTTATAATACATACACGCACACATTTATGCACATATACACTTTCCTTTCTTGTAATTATGACTTAGGTCCGTCAGGCAAGGCAATAAAAGTGCTGACTCAGGGTTTATTGTTGCTTCTTGTTAGCCATCTCCCTCCTTTTATTCTCCTTTTAGCCTGCAGAGTCGACATCTCTGCCTGGCTGAAGGATTAGCTTCTCCTTCTAGTCGAGCCGGCTGTATTTTTAGTAACGTAATTGTTTCTCTCGCTTTCTCTGACCCCCTCGATCCTTCCTTCACATCTGTATTCTCCTCACAAAATGACTTGTGTGCACCCCTCACGCACCCTCTCCCTCTCTCTCTGTCGTTCGCTCTGTCTCCCACCCTCTCCCCCCCCCCCCCTCCAACTCTCCTTCTGTCCTCCTCCTGCAGGAACATTTAAGCTTCTGATAGAGTTTTCCGAGGAGTACCCAAACAAGCCTCCCACAGTTCGGTTTGTCTCCAGAATGTTTCACCCAAATGGTAAGCAGTACAGCTGGCCCGACAAACTCACACATTCAGTGATTCAAACCATGCATGTTAAAATAGAAATAAATGTCTGCCCTCACTTTGTTCATGACCAGCTTCTACATTTTGCAGTTTGAAGTACAAAATAATTGGACTTAGAAATGTTCCAAGCTCTCCTTTCCTCCACATTCAAGCAGTTTCCTCCCATTCATCTCCTTTCCCAGTCCATAACAGAAATGAATTTAGTAGGTTCATTCATTGAGGCTGGCAGTAAACTACTATATTAAGTAGATTTCTTGTATGTTAGTTCAGCAGATATGATGGGTTAGCAACCAAAAGGTGTGCTATGTTTTATTATTTAATGATGTGTGTTGTATTTGCTGATTCCCACAGATCTTAAGCTCCTGGGGACTTGCAGTGTTTTTCAACAGTGCTTTAGTCAACTGCAATGTGAGAACACAGCAAATTTGTGTATCATTTGCAGTATACCACAAACTTCAGAGATTGTGGCTGTCTCCTGGATTCATCTTCACCATCTGTTTAGTTTAGGAAGCATCTGTTCCAGATATACGTTGTACATTCAGTCTATCACTGGTACAGAGACATAATGACGGGTGTTGTGACGTTGATCTCTGTGGTTTGAAGCTTGAATGTGTTGTCTCTCTCTTTTTTCCCCCCCAGTTTACGCAGATGGCAGTATATGTTTAGACATCCTTCAGAACCGCTGGAGCCCCACGTACGATGTGTCGTCCATACTCACCTCCATCCAGGTTAGTTGGTTTCACTTTAAACAAAGCACACTAACAGTGTTCACATGGGCTATTTGGCATCCATTACTGTTATCTGTTTTATAATTTTGTAATGTTTTACTTATACTGCACTTGTTTCAGTTTATGTTATCTATGAATGGCCTGATTTAAAAAAAACATTGGATATTGTGTGTTATGTGATGTAACGCAAATCCTGAAAACACAATCCAACAATTGACAGAAGCTGATAAAAAAAACGAACATACTGTACAGAAATCTTTTTGCATTTAGAAGTATACATTTGAGATGAGATATTTTTACTGTACTTTAGGAATCTTATGTAGATTAAAACATAAAAATCAAAAAAGTTGAGGCTGCAATACAACCTTCATTTTCTATTCACAAGGGAAGGAAAAACATCAGAATAAATGTGAAATAATTAGGGTTGGACTGAATATTGGCTGAAACAAGTATCCAATAAAGATAATTTGACTAACTAACTGTTAACTGCAACTTTTATGTTTATTGTGTAAAATATTTTTCTTATAAATTTAGAAACTTCTGAACAACCCATATCAATTTGACTGAATAAATGTCCAGGCTAAGCCCCGCCCATTCTGAGTACAGATAAGAATACAGATAATTTAGTTGGTTGAACAGATACGTCCTCGCTCAAACCTAGAAATAATATTTCTGTAATAATTTTGCCAAATATTTTGCATTGCATACAGATACATTTTTCAATATTCCACGACGTTTAGAGAATCTGTCCTGGTTATGTAATGCTCATGAGACCAATGACGTGGATTTTTTTCATCACTTTTGTTTCTTTTCCCGCAGTCGTTGCTGGACGAGCCAAACCCCAACAGCCCAGCCAACAGTCAGGCCGCACAGCTCTATCAGGAAAACAAGAGGGAGTACGAGAAGAGGGTGACGGCCATTGTGGAGCAGAGCTGGGTGGATGTCTAAGCTTCTCTTGCTCTCTACTCCTTCCTCTCCATCACCCACTCTTCATCACCCCAGTACTTCAGTCTTTCATTTTTACCTCATCAAGAAAAAACAGCAACTATATCATAAAAAACTCAAGTGCCACCCTGAAAAAAACAACCAGAATGGACATTAACTTGCTTGCCAATACATTTGAGGAAAACAAGGGAGGAGAAATCAATCTTATATTTGTGTTTCTTGTCCTTAATTTTACTTTTTTTTTATTGCATGATGTGAAATAAGTTATTGCTAACAGAATTTGTAATATATCTTTGTTGGTTGGTTGGATTGATGCTGTTAGTGTTTGAGTTTTACAGATTTGTTTTTTTTTTTCCCCTTTGGAAGCATTTTTTTTTGTTTTTGTAATGTCTACTGGTGTGCACACAACTTGGCTGTTTGGAAAGGGCAGGTTGATGACCAAATCAGCATATTTTGAATGTCATGGAAGAATAACGGCTTTCAGAGTCTGTGTCGTTATTCTTCAAGTCAGCCACATATGCAGCTGATAAAGAACAATCTCCGATCTGTTCCAGCATATCTCTGGTATTTTAAGAGACACTGTAGGTTTGGGCTCACAGACGTCACAGGCTGCAGTAGCGCCAAGTCTCCCTTGCACTGATGAATCATGACTCCCTGACTACTAGGCAGCTCTGAGCTTTTATTTTGATCATTTCTGCTCCATGGTAGAAGATGATTTTTGGAGAGGGAGAGTTATGAGAAAGTAAATATTAACACCAGGATGGGACAGGACTGTGTGACTGGGAATCATGGCTGAACCAAGGAAATTCTTTACTCATTTCAATCAGTTTCCTGATGTCAGCTTCTTTTCACTGTTTATCACTTATCCCAGTGTTAAATTGTTATCACAAGGTATGTAGCACACAGGAGCCCCTGAGTTCAGGAATTTAAGTGCTTGTGCTTTCTTGAATTGTGGTGCCATATCTTTTTTTTTTTTTTTTTTTTTTTTAATTATGGTTCATCAATGCTAACGGACCAAAGGTAGCAAGTAGAAACCTGGGGATGGTTCATCTATAATCAGTGTTAAGTTGGTAAAACTTGATGTACTTCTACATCATGTTCTCTGTTCTGCATTTTCCTTAATACACTTTTCGTTCACTTCCTACTTTAACTCTCAGAACTGCGTTTTAAAAATGAGCGTTCAACTGTTCTCAGCTCCAGCTCCTGACAGCTCATCTTAGCTTTTCTGCCCACATGGTTTTCTAATTTCACTCGCCACAGAAAGTACATCACTTTTATTTTTTTAATGCTTTTGTTGCCTGTGACGCGTGTGAGCGTGAATCAAGTGTCAGTGCTTTTGATCCTTCTCTTAAAATGACACAGCTGACATATAAATTAACAAATGAGCTGAGGATAAAAGCAGTGCAGTCCAGTGCATATACTTTTTTCTTTTTTTGTTGCTCTAAACGGGAGCAGTTGGTAGATGATTGAGAGCACAAACTGCTGCAGGGAAAACACTTGCATGCAGTTTGAACCCTGTTTCAACAGTGTGACATCAGCTGTTTCCCCCCCAAAGGCTTAAGTTGTTTTCATGTCTGCGATTGTCTCGGTTTTATTTGTATGATACCCAATTAAAAGAAACTTGAGTATAGATTCATGACTTAACCCTGCCCAACTCCAGCTAAATAATCCATGGAAGACAGTCATCATAAAACAAGAGTTCTTTTTTGAGACAGTAAAGGTTATATTGTGGCTAGTGACTTATTCCACCTAAAAAAGCAGAAGGGATATGTTATAAAATTTTGTGAATTAAACAAAAATGTATACTTATAACAATATGCTGTATAAACATAATAAAACACATTTTTCAGACTTTGAGACTTAGAAAAGAGACTTTTTGCTTTTGGTTTGTTCTTGCTGTGTGTAAGTGTGACTTATTTGTCCTCCCATTAATGACTTAGAAAACTTTAATGTCCTCCGAGAGCCAATTTGTGGTGTTTCCGATTTTGTAATGAAGTGTTTCTTCTATAGCACTTTTTATTATGCTGTTCATAACGTTCAGTATCTGCTATGGTGGGTAAAGCTATAAGTGTTCAGACCTACATGTGATTTATTGTTAAAAATAACCCGTAATCTGTTTATTTTCCTTCTTTGGGGGGAGGATTCATCATCACATTACTGGTTCCAGCAGTGCAGTGCAGTCCCACACTCATTACAACCTTCAGAAATAAGAGGAAATACAATTTTGCCTCTGTTCATGATTAAGGCTGGGTTTGTGCTCCTAAATGGGTATATTGTTCTTTTAAAAAGGAAATAATCTGCCTGCAGGTGAAGATTTAGTATGAAGAAGCGAAAACAAGAAATTACAAAAAAGTTTTGTTCCACCTGTCAGTGGCATTAACCAGACCGATGGAAATTGTGTTGTGTTATAGAGCTTCTTTCAATTCTACCTCTTTTGAAGCCAATATCCTTGTCTTCCTTTCAGGTACCATTTAGCACCATTGTGTGGCAGTGACAAGAGAAAAAGGTATGGCACTGTTTGTTTACTCAGAAAATCTCTGAGCACAGAATTAATTTGATCCATCTTTATGTCAGTCTTAAGGAAAAAAAGCAAACAATAATACAATCCCATGAGAAGAAAATACATGCTTCAGGCAGGGACAAGATCCAGTGTTATCTTTCATCTGAATTTATTAAAAACAGTATTAAATACGATGAATACACTTAAAAAAACAAAGGTAAAACAATGGTGTAAAAACATGAGCGGTGAAGCTCCCACTGAAAAAAACATCTTTGTTGTCTCTGTACAATTAAATGCTAAAAGTCTGAGTGACAGTCTTTCTGCTTTTGATATTAAAAAAAAAAAAGATGTTTGAAGTTAAAACTCTCATCGCATCTGTTTTAAAACAGTGCGGGATTGTAAAACCATGTGAAGTGTGGCACAGCCTGTCTGTACACAACAGCGGAGTCCCATCAGTCTTCTGTATCGATCCGACACAACCAGGATGGATGATACGCCGGCGCCATCATCGACCCTGTGGTGGAAGGAGCGAGGAACACATGAATGAAACATGGTCTCTGTCAACATATCTCTGTGTGTGTGTGTGTGTGTGTGTCCACGGACGTACCTGTTGCTTCTTCATAATTTCATCTCTTGTCTTGAAGACCGGTGCGTCCTCCACCTCGATGCCTTCAGCCATTTCCTTCACTTTGTCCAGGAGCTCTGTGCTGTACCTGCCGTTAGTGAAGAGAGATGTTCCATCAATGTAACGACCCACGGTTATTCATCATCTTTAATTAAAACTGTGGCTCGTTCTCTTTCTTAAAGGACACAGCGTAACAGCAAAACAAGTGAGAATGCAACGGATTATAATTCAATCAGTAAATTATTGTTAGAGCTGAAACGATTAGCTGATTAACTGATTGATAGAAAATATAATCATAATGCCAAACATTCATTATTTCCAGCTTCTTCAATTGTAAGGACGTGCTGATTTCTTTTGTCTTGCATGATAGTAAATTAAAGGTGTTCGGATAATTTGAAGACTTTAGGAAAAATTGGCATTTCTCACCACTCTGACATTTAATCGGTCAACCAGTTGACAGAGAAAAGAATCAACAGATTAGGTGATAATGAAAACAATTAGGTGCAGCCATTAAGATTTTATTTAATTTTAAAAGTAGAAAACATTTGGTTATGTGTTGACTCTAGAAAAACAACCCTGATATCTTCAAGCTGCCAAAGACAAACTGGTGTCACATCATGATGCTGTTTAAAAAAATGGGGATTAAATTGGCTCATCATCAGTTTGATTTGAGGAAAACAAACAAACAAACAAACAAACAAACAAACAATGCAACTGCAGTCCAATGTGTTTGTCTTTTCACGGACACAGGGGGCAGCAGTGAGCCCCATTATGAGCTGACAATGAATGCACGAAGAAGATTTTGAAACTGAATAAACAATAAACTGAATATCTTGGGACAAGCCACACACAAATATAACGTTAGGTTGTGTGACGCATCAGAGTTTAAACACTTGTTTTTACAGTTTTAAAATGGAAAAAGAGCTTCAATGGAGCAAACACGTGCGTGAAAAGCTCAATTTAAGTCAAGTGCTGTGTAAGAGTAGCTAAAAACATGCTCGTTCGAGTTAGTTTCCACGGCTGTGAGGCGGTTTTATCTCCTAAAATCAACACAAACACATGTCAGATAAGGGCTCATTTGCACCAAACTGCGACCTTAACATAAAAACACTGTTTACGAACCGACAGCCGAGGAAGACGTTGTTAGCCCAGACCATGGACAGGGAGAGCAGCTGGTCGAGCTGCTGGAGCTGGAAGTCGTTAATGTTCCGCAGGATGAACTCTCTCCTGGGCTCCCAGTGTTTCTCACTCTCCCAGTAACCTCGATACGTCTCCACCTGCTCCGCCAAAGCTCTGTTTTGTTGGATAAAATCCTCCACGTCCATGTTGGCCATCTTGCTGTTCTTTTCGGGCCGAGTCAACAAAGGCCGCTTCCTGTCTGAAGAAGGATGTTGTTTTTCAGCCTTAGTGTGTGTCAAACAGCGCCACGCAGCGGTGGAGCCGAGAGCTGTTACTGACCTGAAATACACTGCACAGAGAAGACTTGGTTTTTTTTGTTGTTGTTTTTTTACACTGGGGTGACACACTGATTTATGCAAGGGTGGCATGAACAGTATGTGTCTCAGCTTTCCATTCATTCACAATTTATGCAATTCCAATACTGTTCAGGGACCCAAGTATGTAGAAATATTCAAATACACTAGAGGCGAAATATAACACAGTCATACCACATGCAAAAAAACCTGCATGGTTTTTGCCCTAAGACTGGATGGGATTAGCATAAAGTGGGTCATGTGGGGAGACTCTCTGGTACCCATAAAATCCACTTTCATTCAGATATCTTAAGGTCCCTTTGAAAATATCTATGCCAGTTTTCTATCGTGAAAAATTTGCCTAAATTTGGAGCGTTTTGTAGCCCACTTGCTGACATGCTAACATGACACGGTTGGTGCTATGATATCACTTCACTCTAGCTTTAAAACAGAGCCCACTACATCGTCTGAAAGACAGTGTGGAGTGGAAGAAGGAAAGATAATGAGGTGGCACTGGGGGTGGCCAATCAGATTCCAGGTCCCCCCTCTGGAAACACCCCTGTCACAGAGGTGCTTTAGTCAACTGAATTAAATTAATTAAATGTGCAAAATGTTATTTCAATATATTAAACCACTGAAATATATAATATATAACAGAACCTCTCAATATCCAGAACTGAAATGCCAAATACATATTATTCTATAAGTTCAGTACTAGTACACAGCAAGTGAGTAATATAAACTTGATTGATGCTCTGGGTATGACTTTCTTACAATTTACAACACAACAAGAGCATGGCAATATTTTTACATTACACTAGCTGTGACCATGGCAGCTTACCTTGACTTTACACTTTTAGTATATCACATAGTTCTAACCTCCACCCTCAAGAGACTATTGATGCAAACTAGCTTTAAATCACATCTGGTGCCATAAATGTATGTTACATTGTCCCCGCTAAATACACAATGAAATATAAGTTTTTGTATAATGTCAGAATTTTAAAAGGAATAAATGAATAAAACCTTAAATGACTAAAAACAACAAAATAAAATGAATACAATAAGTTGATTTTTGTAAGATATCATACAATGTTCTAAGGTAATATGTTGAGGTGGTAGTATCATAGCTGCTGAGACAATATACCTTTTTTTGCAGCAGACATTTTGACTTGTCATAGCAGGAAAACTACAAGTGGAATCAATACTTTTAACAGAGGCGCTGCTCCAGTGAGCCCAATGCAAGGACCCTGGAACTGGAACTGGAACCTGGAAATGAAATCCAACCAACCTTTAATGTTATTAATTACACCTGTGCTCTCCTTACTGTGACGTGCCTGCTGTGAAAAAGGCCTATTTGAATGCTGTAGTCCGTTAAAATTTAAGCAGTAAGCCACTGAGCAAGACTGGGGCAACTGGTGAATGTTGGTGGACTAACACAGCTTTAGATTTCTCAGGCTCCTGTTTCCCCCCTCCAGCTTGATCTGTCTGTGTTCCTGGTTTAGCCAGAAGATATAAAATTCACAAGGCAGGTAGAGTGGTGATGAAATGTCTGCAACAGACACACATACACACACAGACACAGACACACACACACACTGTCTTTTGCCTTCCGGTACTTGAGCAAACATATCTCTTCTCTCTCGTCTCTCTCGCTCTCATCCTTCTCTCCTCTCTCTCTTTCTCTCTCTCTCTCTCTTTCTGCACTTGACCAGCCTGCCAGGAATATGATCAGAGAGGAACGCTGGACTTTTAACCTCCAGTCTATGTAAAGAGGCTTATGGACAGTCATTCAGGCTCACAGATATGCACACACACACACACACACACACACACACATAAGATAATGTGCACAAACCCCTGCAAGATTCGCCTTTTCCTCTAACTCTCTCCATCTCAACACACACACACACACACCCACACACACACAGGCACACATTGAGACACACAGCAGAACGGGGGATTTGGGGCTTGTTTTGACATGAAGTCATTGATATGCAGAGGGATTCCAGAGGAAGGCAAGCCAACATGAAGTCAAACAGACAGACAGACTGTAAAAGACTGTCAAAATGACCATCAATGACCACCATTGTAACAGCCAGATACATTTAGGAGGAATGAAATTAAGGGCTTGAAGTTTATGATTTGCTGTGAACTCAAACTGAATTAACTTCCCTTTAAATTGAAATAATTAAATATGAATAAAAACTATCTCACCAAGTCACATTGCCTGTTAGCTGTATAATCTGTATGGAAAATAAATAATCAAGAAGAGAAAGTTAATTAGGAGGGGTATGTTCAGCTGCCCAGTGCAACAGTTGCGGTTAAGGGCCTTGCTCATGGATACCTTAATGGTGGGGAAAGATGAGGTAAGGGCAAGTGCTGCCTTCCAGTTTCCCCACCCAGATTTATCCTTGCCGGTTTGAGGGATTGAACTACAACCTCCTGGTCCCAAACTTGACACAACTTTAACAGGTATTCAAATGGTTAAATTAGACACACACAGCAAAGGTAACCCCTGTGTGTACAAAATGGATTATGTTCACACAGTTTAAATGAAGTGCAAACAGTGCATTGTTTTAATAAAAACCTCTTATGAAACATTTGAAATTTAGTGTCACACCGGTTATGAAGGCTCAGTGGAGACACAGCCAAAGAACAACTGAGCAGGTTGGAACAACTGTCAAACATGCAGAGATGAAATAATGTCTGTGCAGATCCAGACAGGAGTTTCTTTAATGTGTGAGCTGACAGGTTCGGTGAAGATTGAGAACATTGACGAGAGCTGATAAAAGGCCTGCCTTACCTTTAGAAATACACTGCATTCATTCTCCATATGTAAAGCTAAACAAGTAAACACTGAACACTACAGCCTTGTACCCAAATGAGTTGAATTTGAGTTACTGTGTGAATGTAAAACTCAACTGGAGGTCAAAATCTGAAGCAGGCGGCAAGTGTTTGTTCTATGCATTAATGACCATGTAGCTGTAGAGATTTAAGCATGAATTGTAGACAACAGATTCTGATTTCAATTTCAAAACGAGTAATTAACAAGTAATAATATATTTCTACAAAAAGCACTTTGTGATGAATCTGTCAGACTATAGCCGTGAGTGTTTCTGTTGGCTTTGTTTGAAGAATAACTAAACTGAAAATCATTCTTTTTTTTAACATTTTACCTCATTGCCTTGTAAACGTCTCACACATGTTTCAGCTTCATCCTGTTTTTCATGGAGCTCTGAACAATGTAATTCTATTTCCACGCAGTGTCAGTTTACTATAAGTGGTTACAAAAATTCTCCCCAACAGGCAGTATACACCACTGATTCTCTGAATCAAGAAGCGAGACATGAACAAACTCATTTAAACATGATGCTGTCTGAATCTTCACCCTGCACACTAGACTTGTATGCATGCACACGACCTCTAACAGCAAAACATTTCTGTTAGACATGTTAGGTGCACATATATGCATATATGCACACAACTGAGCACAGATATTCTTTTTTTTAAACTTGTAATTCTATCCATAACATAAAAATGCCAGCTTTAAACCAGTTTTTATAAAATATGTGGCCTCTAAAATGCTCTCTCCTTAGACATTTCTTCTGTGTTTTTTTTCCTCATGAGTCAGACCTAGAACGGCAAGGAAACCCGCAAGTAAGCGCAAGTAAGAACGGACTTTCACCTCCTCTCAAATTCCCCCAGAAAAAAACACCAGTGGCACTCCTGAGTATGTTATATTTTGGGCAGCTTCCAAGTCATACAAGTCGCCGCTTTATTGAGTGAACTAACCCATTAAGTTTATGGCCTCGCTCTCCCCCCTCTCACTCAGCCTGAAATATACACTGATGCTGAAATAATACACTGCGTTCCAGCCAGCTCTGGCAGACACCCGTTCTTGATGAGTCACCTAATGCATGCTTACTCAGGAGAAAACTATAATTGGGAAACACGCAGACAACAGGTAGCCCTTTCAGCCGGAGTCCTGGGGGACTGCCAACGCGAAGGATTAACCCACTCAGTAAAGTGTCTGTGGATATCAAGGTTACTGTGAGGAGACAGGCATGACAGAAGGTTGTTCTAGATCATTATAAACCTGTTCAGGGGTGTGGGAGATAATGAGATGTGTATATCAGGATATTGCTGGGTGTAAATCACTGAGAACAGAGTCAACCAATGAGTTTAGGCTGACTGATGAACAGTTAACTGTGAGGGATTCATTTAATTTCTGTTCAGTTTCATGCTTTGAGTCAGGGACGGTTCAGTTTTCGAGTAATTCTTCCACTTTCCCCACAAATGGTTACAAATTAGAAAAACTTATTTGCTTATTTTTCCTCTGTCCACATTTTTAAGGTATGTTGAATTGTGTGCTTAGCCAAGATTTGCTCAAAGAGACATTTACTGACATACTTTTACATTTGTTGAATTCAATTTTATGTTTGTTTCCCAGATATTGTGGTTTGTTTATACTGTCACCAAGGTGAAATTGAGTTTCTGATTTCTTCACATTTTGGTTTGAAGACATCTAATATGTTTAAATGCATGCTATGTTTTTGTCTTCTGTGAATGCTGTTTCTGTTTTAGTTTTTTTTCGTCCACGTCCCAAACTGAAACTTAAGGCTGGCCAACTTTTGCCTGCAGACGATAAGATCCGAAAAAGATCTGATTTAATATATTGGTGAAGCAGGAAGAGCATCTCTTTAGCTCTTTGGAAAATGTATTGTAGTTTGGAGCAGGGCTATCACAGTTAGGCTACACTTGACTTTGCATTGACATTAGCTTCCCATAGAGGAGGGGTGCTTAAAATTTTTAGGTTTGGGACCCAAGTGATAAATGTAGTCTGTCACCCTGGGACCCAGACTAATTAAAACTAGTGCTCTTGACATGTAGTGATGCTGGAGCA